TAATTACACGCAGACGAAGACACAAGCAACATCTAGTATATTGTAATTTTAAATTCGTCACGTCAGACCTTGGATTATAGTATTATTAACAAAGACGGGTCTAACAAAAGACTGCATAGAACATTCGTCCCAGGTGTTTGTGCAAGCTATTGTAGGCATAGTAATTACATCATGTCTGTTATTACACTATAATGTTTTATATTGTGACGACTTATGATGTGAATCTCGATAAAGCTCATAATAAAATAGCGCAGAAATATCATTTCAAACTGTCAAGAATTATAAACAACTAGGTGACTATGTTATGTAATACTCGTACAAGTCATTTATGTATATTTATTATATTAAAAGTATAATGTATAGTTATTTTCTACACGGGAAAACATATAGTCATTATGAGTAATTAATCAACCTGGTATTATACAGTTTTGCTTATTTATATGCAAAATCTTAGTATACAATTGGTAATACCCTCTATGAATGATGGATTGCTTTTCCGTTTTAACTTACAAATACTTAAAAATACTAATACAAACAAACAAGTAATGAAATTGAATGTGGATGGCTACAAAGATAGAGTAAGATTGAAGAAGGCATGGATGGAAAAGAGGATACGCATAAGTGGGGAATGAGTGAATGAATGAATGAATGAATGAATTCAGAGACAGATGTATGGAGATACACACTACGTACATCTAAGGGCAGGATGATGACGATAAGTATGGCCTAAGAGCAGGCGCACACCCTTAACTAATGTATCGCACAACAGTTGTGCGATTGTATATTGTCGATTATTTCGCAGCCAATTCAACTGTTTAGTTGCACAACTAAAAACCGAGTAGTGTGCGCATCTAAATAAGTTCATAGGAATCAAAGAGAGACAAGTCAGTTGTGCGATAGTTTAGTCTACGGTGTTCGCTCTTAAATGTTAAGTGTAACTCTTGTACTCAGATATGTTAAGTGATCACTAAGGCCACATTTTAGTGTAGATGTAGTATAAAAATTTACAAAAAGCAATCAAAATGTTACAGATATATGCTAAACTAGCTTTCGCTCGCAACTCCGCCCGCGCGGAATTAATTAAAACAAATGCAAATAGCCTATGTGTTCTTCCAGACTATTCTCTACATCTATGCAAAATTTCATCGAAATCCGTTCAGCGGTTTAGGCTACAAACTCTAACAAACCATCCATCCATCCATCTAAACTTTTGCATTTATGATATTAGTAAGAGTAAGATGTAACAGGGAAAGGAATTTCCATTGTGAACAAATGTTCCAATCATATTATTGGTATTTACGCAAACAGTAATCAAACCAGGAAAACTTGATATTTCACAACAAATCGACGGAACACGTGTACATATTACTCTGTGATATTAAATTCGCCGTACATAAAATCGCTTGAAGAATCCAACCCCATAATCCTTTCCCTAGTTACGAATATGTACAGTTTCAATATTGAATTATATAAACGAGCTGTTGCACGCACACTTCGGTAGCACATATTTGGACTATCCGTTACGCCATCTTGTCAGTTCGAAATTTAAAAAAATGTGGGCTATAATATGCCCGTCTATGTCAGGTACCCTTCAGTGAAAATCCTGTCGAAATCGTCCCAGCCGTTTCGGAGATTACCCGGAACAAATGCGGCTTACACACAAACAAACAGACAAGAAAATTTTAATTACAATTATCGTTATTAGCATCGCAAATACACCATCTTCCTGAAATCTGAATTTTTTCTGTTATTACAAACAGACAATTTTATTATATGTATAGATGAAAAAGGTTAAAATTGTTAGTATTCATGTTAAAATCAAAATCCAATCTGAAATTAGTTATATTTTACATTCATCTTTGTCCTAAAATTAGCTAAATTATTATTAATGGAGAGTAATTAAACTATTACATGTTTCAAAGTATAATTGGCGGATTACCGAGATTAATAGTAAAGAGCATTATGTCAGTGTAATACTGGAGCGTAATATTTATTGTTCGTATTGATTCATTAGCGATGCGCCAACGCCACGGGTCACTGCGCGTGTTCACTAATTTAACCCGGACGCGAACGGAAATTAATTAATATCATTAATTTCTCGTGTTGCGATATGTTTTTCGATTTCACTATTGATAGTTTTATTGTCAACTAGCTGTTGCTCGCGACTTCGTCCACGAAATGTTAAGTTAACAAAGTAGCCTATAATATGCCCGTCTATGTCAGCTACTCTTCAGTGAAAGTCAAACAAAAAAATATTAATTGCGATTTTTGTTATCAGCAACGCATATACATCGTCTTCTTGAAATCTGGATTTTTTTTTTTTTAATATTAAAAACAGACACTCCATTTTTATGTATAGAAGAATTATATTGTGACTGTTATAGTGATAGAAATAACAATCACAAAGTGTCTTAGTGGAAAAGGAGTCTAACTCTTGTTTATAAAATACCATATGGATTGTAGACACGTGTATAAACTCACTTTAAAACAATCACAATATTAGGTATGAGCTGTGGTTAGCTGTGTTTATTGTATTTGTCATCTACCACATAACCTATTAAAATTCACATAAGGTAGCGTTAAAGTATTGCATAATGTATTTGATGCGATTTGGTCACTTCTAGTAGCGTTTGTTATCACTGGCTTAACGCATGTACGAGAACATATTGTTATTAAAAATAGTGATAAAATATAAACAGCAGTTTCGACAATCGAAACAAACGATAAAATCTTCGTAGCAATATTCAAATATGTTATTCTAATCGTATATCACGTACTGAGATTAACTTTGACACGTGCTAGATACGGAAATTATTTGAGTTATTGCTCCGATTGCATTAAATATATCTTGTCTACTACTCGTATATAACCGTAACAATTATTATCGGACACTACATAAACGCTTCCGGTGGCAGGTGGAAATGAACTTGGAAAATTCCAATGGAATATAGATAGATATTTAAATATTATTTCAATCATTAAAATCGCCACAAAACAGAACTTGATTTGCAAAATAATTATGTCAATACATCATGACACTTATGTATACCAAAACATGTGTTATCAATGTATAAACATGGCGATAGTAAATATAAACACTTCCTGTACTCATAAGGAAACAGGGTCTAGGGCATTGCGGTCACGATTCAGCTCTTTATGTCAGTTATATGAACCATTTAATGACATACCAGGGACCTTACTATGTGCTCAAAAATCTGCTAACACGAGCCAAAAGTAAGTAATGACTATAATCAAACATCTAATGTAGAAGTAATAGCCTATTAGGATACCGGAATGTATTTAATGCGTTTAGCCGTTGGGTTCTACTGAAATATCTCTTCAGACACTTGCTATTATTTTTTTTGTTTACATGTTATATTTTCGAGTGAAGAACTTACTTACTTACTAGAAAGGATGCAATGAAGTATTATGTAGTCTTAACTTGATGATGACTTATATGTTGTTTGTATGTGTATATATCTTACTAAATTTATAAATGTGAAAGTTTAGTTGGATGGATGTACTCGTATATTAGAGTTTGTAGCCTAAACTGCTAAACGAATCTCAATAAAATTTGGCATAGATTTAGTTAGTGTGGAAGAACACATAGGCTGCTTACTTTTGTTTTATTTTTTTTTATTTCACCCGAACGCAGTCGAAAGCTAGCATATGTACAAATCGCAGGTGAATGAGGCAAATGTTTCATGGTTGTATTATTAGTAGTTTAATGGGACAAGCAGCTATGCCGCGATAAGAGATTGAAACGTAGCCATTAGTCGCAAATGATTGTGCATTTACGCATAATGCATCACAATGGTTGACTGCATCGAATTAGGGTTAATTAAACCAATGAGAATTTATGTTTCTCAACAGTTAATGCATATTTCATATTTTAGTACAAATATTTTCATTGATTTTTATTCTTATACTCAGTCAGTTCCAGCAGCTCATCCAAATGAATTATATAAAAGGGATAGTTTTAACAAACTTTCGTACAATATAAAAATCTATGTAAACTAAGAAAACCAGTAAAAGTTATACTAGTTCTAAAAATATAACATTACGTTTATTTGTTATTGAAATCCAATGAAGCGAAATTAAAAAATAAACTTTATTACAGTTATATTTACATTTAAAATGTTAGTTGCAAAGTAATCAAGGCAAGTTATAACATGTGAAACGTAATAAAAATGCGTTTATTCACAATCAGGCGTTGGGAAATTCAATTCAGAGGCAGATTTAATTTGTAGCCAATAAAAACATTACAACACCGGAAAGCAATAATTGTTCCGACGAACATACGAATTTTAGCTACCAATTTTATTGGAGCAATGAGGTTTTCTTTTCAGCTTTATAACGTGCGGAAACCTGAAAATAAACTATCGCACAACAGAGGTGCACATATCCTCGATTTTTAGTTGTGCAACTAAACAGTTGAATTTGCTGCCAAACAATCGACAATGACACAACAGTTGTGCGATAGTTCAAATGTGTGCGGTGTTTTCCCTACATATTTGATTTGTTGATTGTTCCATCTTTAGCCAGTTAATATGTGATGACTTCCAAATTCTTGTAATAATAACAAATACTTGTGTCTATAGAAGGTACCAATAATTTTCTTTGAACATGTATGACGTAGGTATTTTACGTAAATTAAATCAATAAATGCAGAGAACTGGAAACTACACTTACTAGAAATTTTTTTTGTTGAAAGAATTAAGTTTAAAACATTATAAGTTTCTATCGATGTTTATGAATGCGAATTGCTTTGGAAACTACAAACTTTATCAACTACTAGAAAACAAAACTCTAAAGTATTAAGCGGAGGAATAAAACTCGCTCGGAGCGAGAATCTCGAAAATATTGCAGCTCAACTATAAAATATTCTACATTAAAAACTTTGTTCATACTTGTAATCTGTTAAAAAATAATAGTATTTTATCTTAAGTTGGATAAATCACATCACATCTTATCTAACACTATGGTTATATTGCTTTCAGATTCTACTGGGATCTATGCATGCTGCTGCTACTGGTGGCGAACCTCATCATCCTGCCTGTTGCCATCTCCTTCTTCAACGACGACCTCAGCACACGTTGGATAGCCTTCAACTGTCTATCTGACACCATATTCCTTATAGATATTGTTGTTAATTTTAGAACAGGTACGTTTTATTTAAGGCTAGCTGTTGCTCTTTAAAAACTGCTTGTCTCAAAAACTTCACGTGTATGAAATAAATAATACTAATACTAGAAATGCGAAAGTTTAGGTTAATGGATAGATGGATGTTTGTAGACTAAACGGCTGAACGGATCTGGATGAAATTTGGCATAGATGTAGAACATATTCTAGAAGAACACATAGGCTACATTGATTTGTTTTTTTCCTAAATTGCACGTGAACGGAGTCGTGGCAAAAGCTAGGCAAAAGTTATTTTACTCACTAACTAGTTTTTTAATGGTGAAGAATTTTTCATTAATCAAAAATTTAATTTAATTCGATAAAAAATTGAGGAAATGTCTTAAAGATAAATGTTTGTACTTTCAGGAATAATGCAGCAAGATAATGCGGAGCAAGTGATATTAGACCCCAAGTTAATAGCAAAGCATTATTTAAGGACGTGGTTCTTCCTGGACCTCATCTCTAGTATACCACTAGATTATATTTTCTTGATCTTCAATCAGGTAAACGTACGTTGCAATTTGGCCGTGTTTCTTTTACTATAGATTTAACTGTCTTTTATGTTTTGATGTTCTGTTTCAGCTTGGGTCTTCATTTGTTTATAGCAAACATTGTATTTTGTTTTTGGGTTTATTTGTATTATTATTGTTTTTGTTTCTCATTGTGATTTCTATTCGACTGCCACGAGAACGTACAACGCGCCATCGTGTTGATGTCGTGTTATTTAAGGGTCTATCAAAGTAAAGGTTTGATTGGCACTCTAGTTTCCTTTTTAAAAGAATCCGAACGCATACCTTTTACTTCTTTTTTTGGTAATTTACACCTTCTTTCTTCTATCTGCACGATAAACATAAGTAACCCATATGAATCAAGAGTTAATACCATCACCCTTATCAACTTACGGTCGGATACATGAAATGATTGTATGGGCTGCTAACCCCTTTCGTATTATGGTCTCTATATGCACATTTATTCTTTGTGCACTGGCCACTTTCAGAAGTACATTGTTCTATTTGCACCGATCTTTATTTTCTTCTTATAAATCCCTCTCTAAATTTATGATCTATGCACGTCCTGTGTTAATATGTTCATAATTCTTACTATCTAAAATGGATCTTTCCTTCTCATAAATCAAAGCATGTTTTTGCCAACGCTTTTATACATATTTTATTGTTTCTTGGCTTCGGATATATCTATATTTATTTTTGGTTAAAAGGTTATTCAGGCACTGGTGTCCGTTAACAATTATTATTTATGGTTATGAAACACGACCAAATTGTAATATTCTATATAATTTAATGACTATACATATAGAGAACTACGCTTTTAATTTGATAAATATTTACAAGATTTACATTTCTATATAAATTGGTTTTTGTTCAAAGCTTTATTATAGAACAACAGCTTTTACTAACTTAAAATATAGTTCAACGAAGTCGAGATTGTAAATTAATCGATTATACTTTAATGCATAAGCATCTGACTAAATGCTTGAGCACTTTTCTTTGGCTGAGACTATTAATGGCAGCAACATTGCATGTCTATTTCACGTACCTATAATCTGTAAAGGTATTGTCGTCGTCGAGATGCGGTGCTCTGAAGAAATGCCGACTTCTTTGGAGCATCAGGAGGTAGGTACGCCGCGGACTTAACTGGTTTTTGATATGTTGACAGGACTTTAGTGAAAGCTTTCAAATCCTCCACGCGGGACGCGCGCTCAGGATACTGCGGCTGGCCAAGCTGCTCTCCCTGGTGCGGCTGCTGCGCCTCTCGAGGCTCGTCAGAT